ACCCCCAGCAGGCTGATTTGGGATGCAGATGACCCAAGCAGCTGCTAACCCCATGGCGCCATAGAACCTGCCCAGAAAGGAAGGGGAAATCACTAGAAACCAGAAAGGAGCAGAGAGGTCACTGGGCATCATTCGAATGATGCCATCAGCTGGAGGTTATTTCTGTACCTGTTCCCCGGTAACTCTATATACAGTGCCAGTCCTTGTTACTGAGGTTGTGCATAAACTCCATCGCTTTTGTTGATAACATGGGGTGAATGTTGTGATTGGAACACAGAAAGTGGCTCAGGCTCCACAACAGAGCATCTTCCCTACTAGGTTAAGCAGCCCCTTCTCTGTGAATGTGGCTCCTTGGCAGGTGTTTAAGTGGTGCCTAATTTGTCTGATGCCTGTGCCTTTTCAAAGAGGTGCATCTATATTTCTCTTCCCAAGATTTCTTTATCATCAATTTTGAAGTTGTTCCTTTTGATATCTGAATATCTAATCAGGTATTTTAACATTGTTCATGAATCAGTACAGAGCTGTAACTTTCTAATCTCTCCTTAAGAAAGAAAACAAACAACTTTATACCCTGTTCAGATTTCTGTGGTTGAGAGATATTCTTTATACCACTGTCCTTTAAAATCACCCCAGATGAGACTAGTCCAGTCCTCATTTACATGTCATGAAAACCACTATAAATAAAGCCTGATGTTTTTTCCTTTAGTCAATCATACTGTCATAGAGAACTCTCCTTGAGATCATACCTTTAGATTGAGGCTAAGTATACTCAGAGTAGGGACGGTAAGCATCTGAATCATCTGCTCATGTCAATTATTTGTGGTTGAGAATCTGCTCAAACATGATCTCGTGTACTTCTGTGTGATGATCTTATCGACAGGTCAGTTGCTGCAAATCAGATGTCAGGGGCGTATTGATTTGCTTCAGCAACAAAACCACATCTAAACCAATAGCATAAATAGGAGTTACAACCTTATTGTTACAGAAATTCAGTCACTCTCTCAGATTTGTCTGTCAATTTTTATAGGCCACATAGGCAAGTTAAATGCGGATCTGTGCTAGGAGTCATCACCCTTGTGTATTTCCAGGCTTTAATGATTGGGTCATACTTTTTTACCTCACCCAGATTTTTTTTTTAACCTTACTAGATTTCACCTAGTCTCACAGCCCTACAGCGACCACATTTCTTCTCTTTGGATTAGAAAAGGAGGATTCCCTGCCCTTACTCAGTGGACATCTCTGAGTTACATAAGGTTTCAACCAAATGATGTCCAAGGGTAAAGTGGGGAACACATCATCACTTCCGTTGAATTCATGCTCTTCAGTTGGCCTACTACTGTTTATTTAGTAAACTCATCCATTTCCTTTAAATTACCAAATTTATAGGTACAGAGTTGTTCATAATATTTTTATTACCCACTTAATGTCCATGAGATCTGTAATGATGTCCCTTCTTTTGTTTCTGATATACAATCTGATATTCATTCATTCTTGTTCATTTTTTCTCTCACCCTCTCTCTGCTTTTCCAAGAAAAACTATTAAAATAGTAACTAAAGCCTTTTGTAAACATTTGTAGAAATGGAGTTGTAAACTCAAACTATAAAAATCCATTTGGATGGGCATTGTGGCCTGGTAGGTCAGGCCCTGCTTAGAACACTCACATGGAGCCTTGCTTCTGATCATATTTGTAGGGTGTCAAGGACCCCTGCTACCCACGTGGAAGACCTAGATGCAGCCTGGTTTAGGCCTGACCCAGTCCCAGCTCTTGCAGGAATTTCACAATTGAACCAGCAGATGGAAGGTTGATCTCTAGCTCTCACTTTCTACTGCTCTTCCTTTCAAATAGATGAAGATAAATAAGCAAGCATTTAAAAGCATAAATTTAATCCTTTACACACACGTGCATAATATGTTTAAGACTTGTTGTCTGATTACAGACATCCTTCAGGAAGAAGTCCTGTAGGCAAGTGGAGACTACTCTATACCGCCTCAGGTATCTTAGGAATGTGTTACGCTAACAAAATATTGCCAGTTCCTTCCTGGAATCCCTTGTTTCAAGTCATATACACCTAAATATATAAGTGTATATGTATATATGTGCACACGTGTAAATGTATATACAAATGCCACAAACATAAGTATGCACATCTAATTATTAGTGCTATTATGAGTTTCAACAAACTGTTATACATTAAATTAGTTAATAATAAGAAGAAAACTTGTACCTGCACATATTAATTCCTAGAAGTGCTTTATTTCTTTATGTATTAGGTTTTATGCCTATAGTATTTTCTCTTCTCTGAATACTAAATGCTTTTAGTATTTCTTAGTAAGTCATACCTAACGGCAGTAAGTATTTCTTAGTACGTCATACCTAATGGAAATAAACTTCCTCAAGTTTTGTTTCCTTTGGGAAGGTGTTTATTTCTCCTTCATTTTTTTTTTGAGATTTATTTATTTTAATTAAAAGGTCAGATTTACAGAAAGAAATATCTTCCACTCACTGTTTCATTACCCCAAGTGGCCGCAACAGCCGGAACTAAGCCAATCCAAAGTCAGGAGCTAGGAGCTTCTTCCTTGTCTCCCACATAGGTGCAGGGTCCCAAGGCTTTGGACCATGCTCCATTGCTTTCCCAGGCCACAAGCAGGGGGTTGGATGGAAAGTGGAGCAGCTGGAACACAAACCTGCACCCGTATGGGATCCCGGTGCATGCAAAGTGAGGATTTAGCCACTAGGCTTACTGCCTAGTTTTGTCCCCCCCCCCCCTTTTTTTTTGTTGCTGCAATGAGCTCAAGCACAATTAATAGGACAGATAAGATGGAAGAAAATGTTGTTAAGCAGTAAAGTAGACCAGGACAGCCAAACTGGCCTAATTGCAGTGTTATTCCTTAAGGAGTATTATTAGGTTCTAAAATTATCAACTAATTTTTAACATTGGAACGTTTTAAGTGAAAAGAGGTGCTTCACTGAATCAGATGGATTATTCTAGATATATTTCTTTTCAAAAGCCTAATACTGGTTTTTCTGAGAAAAAGGATTCCTCAGTGAGAGAATTACACTGTTGGTCTGCCTTTTTATAAACCTGTGAAACACCACAGTTCTGCACAAATCAATCTCGTCTTACCAAGGATTAGAAATCTATTATGAGAGGACAGCCATAAAGGACAGGTCTAAGAAGCAGAATTCCTTTCTGATTAGAGTTCTGGAGAAAGAGAAAAAACTGACTGGAGGGGAATTAGTTGACAGTGATGAACAGTTAGTCAACAGTAAATGAAAGGCCCCAGAAACTGGTAAGGAAAAAACAAAAAAACACATTATGACATAACCTAGTAAAACTTCTGAAATCCAAGGATAAGAAATAAATCACAGTATTTCTCCAACAAAGGTAATAGTGGACTGGATTTAAGTACTAAGAAGTAGGAGATGTGGAGAGAATGTGGCCTATCTTAATGCATTTTTGATTGATAATCTGCAGAACTGTTAATGTGTTTGTTGTAGAGGAATGAGACGGGATGAAATCTATGACAGTTTATAGCACTTTGGGTTCAGTAAACATAAGTTGATGATTAATATCTGTGAATATCTGCATGATTTTTTACAATGGAAGTAAAATTCACACCATAGAATGTATCACTTAAAAATGTACAACTCAGTGGCTACTTAGTATAGTTACAGTATTGTTAAATTATGGCTGCTGTCTAACCCATTACTACAGATAGAAACGCCCTATTCACTGCTCATTCCTCCTCCTGTACGTCCCTGAAAGTCACTGAGCTGCTTTCTTTCTACATTCATCTATTCTGAGCCTTTCCTACAGATGGAATTGCATGGGACGTCACCTTTGGGATCTATGTTCTTTTATTTAGTTAATATGTTTTTAATGTTTTTTTGAAAATTTCTTTTATGGCCTAATAGTATTCCATTATGCATGTATACCACAGTTTTCTTTATCCATTTACCTTTAGTAATGTTTACTTTGTTCCATTTTCAGGCCATTATGAATAATGCTTCTGTGACCAACCATGTTTTGAGTTTGGGCTTCACAATTTGTTTGCGTTACTTTCAGGCATACCCAAGGGTAAAAGGGCTGGGTCATGTTGTGATTCTGTTCCTGTGTTTTTGGTTTTGGGTTTTGAAGAACTGCCAGACTGTTTTACACAACACAGCAACTGCACCATCTCACTTGGCACCAGCAGTGTGTGAGGGCTCTGACTTATCCACGTCCTCACCATTTGTCGTTACCGTTGTTGTTTTGAGATTTCCTTATTTCCATTTCGATGTAAAGGGACATCTCATTATGGCTTGGCTTGTGTTTCTATAGTGCTTGTTGAGCATCTTTCCTTATAGTAATTTGCCATTTGTGTATCTTTATTAGAAAAATGTCTGAATGTTTTTGTCCATTTTGAAACTGGGTTATTTTTTTTTTGTTACTGAATTTTAGGAGTTTTTATGTAGATCCTCTCAGATATATGATTTGCCAGCATTTTCTGTTTTTGATAGTTGTCTCTTCACTCTCTTAATATGTTTGCTTGAATGTGCCGGTTTTTTGTTGGTTTGTTTGTTCCAATGAACTCCGTGGTTGCTCATGCTCTTGGTGCCGTTACTAAGAATCAATTTCCATCTTCTTTTAGCATTCTAAAGTTTTTTTCCCCTAATGTCTTCCAGTTCCAAATTATCTCCTTATCCATCTAAATCTGCTTTAAACCCATCTTTGAGTATTTGGTTTCATAATTCCAGTTCTCCGTTATTTAAAACATTCACATAAAATCAATATCATAAAAACATTCATTTATCTTATAAAATTTTGCATCTGAAAAACCTCTATAGGGCACTTATTTAAGCGCTCACACATGTGTTGAAATGCTTTAGTTGGCCTTGCGAAGTGAAAATCAGTGCCGGTTTATACTGTTTCTGAATCATCCTAAAGAATATATTTTAATAGGGAAGGAAAACTCTTTCCTCACCAGCTCTTTTGTTCCATCTCATTGTGCCTGACAGGTGGCATCTCCACAGAAAGCGACTGTGCTTTTGAGCCCGACTATGCCGTCCCAACACTTGCAGTGAGTGAAGGTATGCAGCACATTCGGATTCTGGAGGGCGTGTCTCGCTCTCTTCCATCCTCCCCCTTACTCACTCATCAGTCTATCAGTGTTCGCCTCCAGCCTGTGAAGAAGTTAACTGGTAAGGACTTTACCTCAACTTAGTATGTGTAACAGGAGACCCAGCAGTGTGACGCTGCAGGTCATAGCAGATATATTCATGTGCATAGTTAGGGTTTTCCTCGTTGGCTTTCCTAATTGCCATAGACTCTTGGGAAGTGGTGCTCCTACTGGTTTTAATTTAGATAATTAGAATAGTACTCAGTTTGACAGATTGGTATATTTATTTTCTAAATGACCCATCTGCCATGGGCATATTTTTTCCTAGGTTTTCAGGAAGTTTCTAGTTTTTCCAAAATACACTGTTGTTCTGATTTCATTTATTAGCTTGTTCACGTCAGATTAACAGATGGAGCCCCTTTCCCCCTCCACTATTCATGCTCTTGTAATAATAAGAACTTGATAGTTCAGCAAAAGTACATCAGTTATATTTGTTTGAAATCAATATGTGTATTTAATCTCTAGTTTTAAAAGCTGATTTAGGTATTTTCTTAACAATTGAACATTACTACAGCTCTTAGGATATTTGCTTTAATTCATTGACTTGAATGACAGAATATGTGTTGTTCATTCAAATTCAGGTGTTAGATGTGTAATTCTGTCTTTATTAAATAAACATTTGTACTTTTAAGTTTTTTTAGGAAAAAATGTTTAGTATATAGTTAAAGAATTTGTGAAAATATGTAAGGCACTGTTTTAAATTTCTTCTCACATTATTAACATATCTCTGATGTCAGTTAAATTGACTGCTGTTGAATTATGAACACAAGAAATTAATCAAAAACAATATCAACTTTTTGCTATGTGTCTAAAATTGAGTTACATAGGGAGGTGTGACTATTACTGTATCATTTCAAAAGAAAATAAACAGAGGGATAATGGAATTCTTATACTATTCTAAGTAGAAAAAACTATAATTTTCATCAAAATAATTTTAATTCTCTTTCCTGTCATTTCAAAGAGTACAAATTAAATCTTTGCATTGTTTATTATATTTTAGGCATTTTCTAATAACTGAGTCAAAATCTACTGAGTCAGTCAATAAAATATACTAATAACACAATAGTACAAAGTATCCATTATGTTATAATATCTACAACTGTGATATAGGCAGACACTTTGCCAAATGTTTAAGACACTTCCATATCAGAGTAACAAGTTTTGAAAGTAGCTTTTTTCATTAAGACTTGCTTATTTTTATTAGAAAGGCAGATTTACAAAGAGAGAGACAGAAAGGAAGATCTTCCATCCTCTGGTTCACCCCCAAGTGCCTGTATCAGCTAGAGCTGAGCTGATCTGAAGTCACGATCCAAAAGCTTCTTCCGAGTTTCCCACACAGGTGCAGGTCCCAAGGCTTTAGACCATCTTCTGCTGCTTTCCTAGTCCATAAGCAGGGAGAGCTGGGAAGGAAGTGTAGCAACCAGGACACGACCTGGGGCCCTTATGGGATGCTGGCACTTGGGGGCAGAGAATTAGCCAGTTGAACCATGGTGCCGTCCCCAGAGTACCTGATTTTGACATCAGCTCCTTCTCCTGATCCCAGCTTCCTGGTAATGCAGACCCTGGGAGCAGCAGGTTATGATTCAAGTAACTGGGCTCCTGCCACCAGTAGAAAAAAACCTGGATTGTGTTTCTCGTTTCCAGTTTGGCCTCAGCTCATCAAGCCATTGCAAGCATTTGGAGAGTGAACTAGCAGCTCGTGCTTGCTCGCTCGCTCTTTTTCTCTCTCTCTCTTTCTCTCTTTTCCCCCTCCATTACTTGTGTGTTTTTCTGCCTCTCAAACTAATTAATTTTTAAAATGTAATTTTAGTAACTGAATAAAGTCTTAAGAAATATGAAAAAAAATCCTTCCCTTTTTGCTGTTAAAAAGGTGTTGTTGATTACTAAAAATACAAAACACTCAGATCTGATATTTGTCATATGTTACACTTCATTTTATAGCCCACACTGGAAGAAATATCAAGAAATATTTACTTTCTGGGAGGGAAGTGAGTTAGATTATATGAGGTTGAGAAGATAATCATGGCCTATTCCACGTGCCTATTCCAGTTTTGGGCTTCAACTTAAATAGGCATGATTTGCTACAAGGTTGGTGCACTTAGATCAAAGTCATATTTTTTGGTGCACACAATATGACAGAGATGAATAAAGCAATTATACAAAGATAATTTTTATTTTTGACATGTATGGACTATTGAGTCTTAATTTTTTGGTGTTTGAAATATATCAAATCTCTAGTGGATGACTGTCAAAATCTTAAGTACTTAAAGATTGAGAATGCATTTTGAAATGTCTGAATGAAAAAAAAATTAATTCTGTTTTCTAAAAGAAAATACCTTGAAAATGTTTCTGTGGCCAATTTTCTGCCACATGAAGCAAATGATAGAATTTTCTTGTTTAACCTGGTATGAAATTGCTTTCAAATTTAAAATAAAACCTTAGTCTGAGTATTCAGTTATCTTCCTATCCCCAAGTATGCTTTGTTAGGAATAAATAAAAGAGATTTTGAGTGGAGAAAGATTTACTGACCATATCCTCCAGAGGATATTTCTTACTTGGCATCATTTTGCAAAATGAATAATTTAAGGAATTAAGAGCTCCACTTAATGATTTATCCACTTTCATGTATTTCATGTGTGCTTCTATTCCTTGTATTTATATTACCACTCAGGCTAAATAACTAGGCTCAGAATAATCTATTCTGTTTCCTTTCTGACTTCCTCATATTTAGTTCTCTGTCTCTGGTACAATTAATGTGGTTTATTCATTATTGCTGAGTACTTTTTATTTACTCATTCTACGTATGTTTTGGTGGGACCCACTATGCACCAGGCACCTGTCTTCAAGGTTTTTATGTTCCAATTAGGAGGAATACTGACAATAAATGTAGAACCAATTAATAGAAATTTTAGATCATGACAAGTATTATGAAAGTTATATTATAGGAGGTGAGATGGAAACTAGCTTACAGGTGAAATTTCTTTGTATTGAATATTCAAAGAGAGTCAAAAAAGGTGCATGAGTTGGGTTGAACTGAAGAAAAGTGTCCCGCCATGGCAATATCTAGGTTCTGAACCTTCAAGACGAAGTGAACACCTGAAGCAAATCTCTAAAACAGAAATGAGTTTTGAATGTTAGGGAATGGAAGGAAAATGAGGATGGTTCAAGCAAAGTCAGGGGGAGAATGGCAGTCAATGAGTTGAAGCAGTATGCAGAATTTTGTGTGGTAAGGTGTCAACATTGTAGAATTCTGAACAGAGAAGAAATGAGAAGTGATATGATCAGATTTAACTTTTAACTAGGTGTTTTTGGCTGGTAGAGAATGAACTGTAAGGAACTAGAGTATACTGTGTTCATTAACCTTGCATGTTTTCCAGATACTTAAATAGTTATTGTCAAGTGGGTGCTTATATTTTTGTATTACAAGGAATAATCTTTTCCTATCATCATCATTCTATAACCCCTGTATATTTATCTTAGTCCTTGACACAGCCCGCCTGCAGAAATGGATCTATTTGCAAGCACTTTGACTTCAGCTTTGAGGCAGTGAGAAGGAACACAATCTGGAGTGTAAGATTAATTTTACACACATACACACTTTACTCAGTTAGTGAAGAAACAATACAGTGACAGTCATTACTAAGAAAGCTGTGGGTCTGTTGGTCAGACTGGCTCCAAGTAAGTCATTTTACCATAGTGGGTTTCTGTTTCTCATCTGTGAAAGGAATACAAGTAAATTGTGTGACTCTTACCACTTTAACATGGTTTGATAATACTTAAAACATTAGATGTCGGTTGGAATCTGAAAATGTTCAGGGATTCTTAAGCCATACTTACATATATTTCTTTTGGAAGAGAGGGCCGAGGCAGAGAGACTGAGAGATCTTTCCATCTGTTAGTTCATTTCCCTAATACCTATAACAGCTAAGGCTAGGCCAGGTCAAACCAGGAGCGAGGACCTCCTTCCAGATCTCCTGCATGTGTGACAGGAACCCAGGTTCTCGAGCCGGCATTGCTGCTCTCTAAATACTTTAACTGGAAGCTGATTGGAAGAACAGGGCAGCCAAGACTCCAGCTGGTGCTCTGAAATGAATCCTAGCCTTCCAGGTGACAGCTAAGCCTGCTCTACTACTACACCTGCCCAGATTCGTATTTTTCATGGAAATAGAAGGTGGATAGAAGGTCTCCCCTCACTCTCTGTCACTCTTTCCTGCAAATTAAAAACAATAATAACAATGAAACCTTACCTATATCATCTGATATAACAATTTAGGCTATTTTTTTTCTGTTTTTGTTTTTTCTATACCAAGTAATAGAAGATGCAGCCAAATTACTTAAGAAACAAAGAACTAGAAGACCCATGGGTTAGGCACACTTCAAGAGTGTTTACGGGGGGATGTGGAAGAAACTTTGCAAACACAACGTCGACCCTAGTTATGTGCCTTTTTTCATGTGTGTGATTTTTTTTTTATATAATATTGTAGAGACCCTCAGCATGCTCCTTTAAAACAAATCTTCCTTGTATCTATTTGGAAAGGAGAAGGGAGGGAGGAGGAAGCTGGGGAGAGGGAAGATGCCTCCAGTGTGCTGACTTGCTCCCCACATGCCCATCCCAGCCAGGGCTGGGCCAGCCTGAAGCCTGGAACCAAGAGTGACATCCAGGTCTCCAGTATGTGGCAGGGACCCAACTACATGAGCTGCCTCCAACTACCTGCTGCCTCCCATGGAACACTTTCGTGGAAAACTGGAATTAGAAGTGAAGCTGGGTGTCCAGCCCACACACTTCTACCTGGAATGAAATGTCTCAGATGGCATCTTAACCACTGTACCGAAGTCTGTCCCTCAACATACTTGTTAAATATGGATAGTTAGGATATGGAAATAATTCATTCTTTCAGTACTTATTGAATT